CAAAGACTTGGAACCAACCCAAATGCCCCTCAATGATAAACTGCATAAAGAAATTTGGCACATACACACCATGGAATACTATGCAGCCATAAAAAATGATGAGTTTATGTCCTTTGCAGAGAGATGGATGAAGCTGGAAACCATCATTCTCAGCAAACTGACACAAGAACAGAAAACCAAACACTGCATGTTCTCACTCATAAATGGGAGTTGAACAATGAGAACACATGGACACAGGGAGGGGGTCATCACACACCAGGGCCTGTCGGGGTGGGGGGATAGGGGAGGGAGAGCATTAGGGCAAATACCTAATGTAGATGATGGGGTGATGGGTTCAGCAAACCACCATGGCACTTGTATTCTTATGTAACAAACCTGCATGTTCTGCACATGTACCCCAGAACTTAAAGTATAATAAAAAAATAAAAAAATAAAAAATTTTTAAAAGCATCGAGAGATCTGGAAAAAGGAAAAAAAGAATTAAATTGCAGCAGGCCTTTCTGAGCTGGGCAGACCTTGTGCTGGGTCTATGACAGCATATCCCCCGCCCCTACATGGCCTACGGCAGCCCAGCGAGGGGCTTTCTGCAGAAATGTCGGCAAGCTCATGGGTGGTGTACCCAGAACTGACACTGCCAGGGGACTTCCAGCTGACTGTGACACACTTGAGCCTGTGAGAGTGAGCTGGACTAGTCAAGGCCCATATGAAGTTTTACACTTTGCTCCCCAGCCTGATGGAGAAGAAATCCAAGCTTGAAGGGAAAGGAGGGGTCTGATTGCTGAGGTTTCTGAGGTGTGGGTTTGGGATGGGGCAAGGGGACTAGAGGAAAGAAGAAGCTGCGGACACTTGGGAGAAACCCAGGCTCTGCAGCCAGCCTGCCGGGGACAGACCCTGGCTCTGTGTGACCATGGGCAAGGCACAGCCTTTCTATGCCTCAGGTGCTTAGCTGTATAATGGGGTAACTACTACTATTAAGGACAGAGTTATGTCCCTCCCAATTTATAGATGAAGCTCTAACCCCCAATGTGTCTGGAAATGGGGCCTCGAAGGAGGTGATTAAGGTTAAATGAGGTCAAAAGGGTGGGACCACAATCCAGTAAGACTGTGCCCTTAGAAGAGGATGAAGAGCTCTCTCTCTCTCCCTCCCCGCCCCCCTCTCTCTGACATATAAAGGTGGCCATCTGAAAATCAGGAGGAGAGGCCTCAGGAGAAGCCAACCCTGTTGGCATCCTGATCTCAGACTCCCAGTGGGAATAAATAAATTGTTAAAGCCTCCTTGTCTGTGACAATAGACCTCCCGCCCCGCAGCGATTTGGGGAACTGGAACTGAACATACACAACCCTCCTTCCTCTTCCCACTCCCCTTCTCTGTGCATTCTTTCACCTCAACCCCTTCACCCCCACTCCCACCCCCAAATCTTCATAGAAACGTCTGGTTTCAGGAATGTGCTCAAATCTTAAAACCCGGGGCGGGACCCTGCACTACCAGGCGTGGCCACTGAGCGGCACTCACACCCGGCGGCGCGCGCTGGTTCCCACGCTCCGGCCACGGACTGGCGCGCACCTGGGACGCCGCCAGGGCGGCTGAACCCAGAATCTTTTATTCTGATGAATCTAGATTGAAAGATGGAAGCTATGTAGGTTATTTTTCCTTTAAATGGACCGTCATTGTTCCATTAGGACTACACGTTGCTGCAACGACTGATCCTTCGGCCTCCGAAGGGGACGTGCGCACACTGAAACGCACACCGGATTTTGAAGACAGTAGGAATAAAACGAAGTAAGCTAGTCATTGAGACTTTTTAAATTGGTTACATGTGGAAATGATCATTTTCCGGTGGCAGTGGATTCAACAGACATTAGTAACATTCATTCCACCTGTTTCTGGTTACTTTTAAAAGTTGGCTAACTGGACATTTTCCATTACAGGTGTGTGTGTGGGGGGGGGCTGACCTATGGCCTCAGCTGGTGGCCCTGGGCCTTCCCTTCCTCCCACTTGCCCCGGGGGCAGGGCCTGGGAGTCAAGCTCTGCAGTCAGGGCTGCTGAGAGGCCCAGGGTGCAGAGGACAGGTGGGTGCCCAGACCCAGGGCACAGGACAGGATCAGGGGTTGGAAACCCGCCAGTCTTTAAAACTGCATTTCACAAAGGATTCATCCCCGCCCTCTGTCTATAGGGCAGGTCCTCCATTAATTAATGCAGTAGCCACTGAGCTCACCTCATCTATCCTAGGCATAAGAAAATCAGAGGCCAGGTGTGGTGGCTTACGTCTGTAATCCAAGCACTTTGGGAGGCTGAGACGGGTGGATCACCTGAGGTCTGGAGTTCGAGACCAGCCTGGCTAACATGGCGATACCTGGTCTCTACTAAAAATAAAAAAATTAGCTGGGTATGGTGGCACATGTCAGTAATCCTAGCTACTCGAGGGGCTGAGGCAGCAGAATTGCTTGAACCCAGGAGGTGGAGGTTGCAGTAAGCAGAGATCCCACCATTGCACTCCAGCCTGGGTGACCAAGTGATACTCCATCTCAAAAAAAAAAAAAAAAAAAAAAAGAAAGAAAGAAAATCACCCAACACTTGGCAGTTAGCATACAGCCAAGACCCACCCATCATACAAGTCCACCCCAAGCTGGTGTCATTATTTTTGGTAGTACTAGACCTTCATTTGACTTGCTATTTATTATTGATTAGGGCCCAGACTTTGTGAGGTTACGTGTTAATTTGTAGATATTTTGTCAGTAGGTATGCAAATGATTTCAGTCTGGTGGAGACCTAAATCACGGGGACCACCGGCCCCCAAGGCCACTGTTTTAGTTCCTGGTAGGGTATTGATCACTTTGGCGTCTAACTTAGTAGACTTCCTTTATGCAGGTTGCGTAGGCTGATGAAACAAAACTCTGTAAGCCATTCTTTGAACCAGTTGTACAATTTTGCCCCTTGCCTGGCTGAGCTAAGCAAATCTCTGATGTGTTCATTCCAGATTTGTATGAGAGTCTTATATTTAACTGTTAAGATTATAAGGCTGACTCAAGTAGTTAGCTGCATTGCAAGAGAAATTTGAGATGAACTTGAAGTTAACTTCTAGGGAAATGATGTCTGCTGTGTCACAGGAAAGGGTTACCTCGAGGAGGGGCGTGCATGTGGGGAGGGAGGAAAACTGGAAAAACTCTTTCATCCAGAAAGAAGAAGGTTGCAGAGGGAGGCAGGTGGCACTTGTGATTCCATAGAGAGCATCAAAGAGAGGAACCTAAGCTTGTCCCCAAACCCAAGAGGTAGAAACTTCTTTCGGGTGAAAAGAAGCCGTGTGAGAGGAGAAAGGAAGGAAGTGTCTGCTTCTGTGGTGTCAGAGTGGAGGAACTTTTGATAGATGCTGGAGTCACTCTGTGTCCCATGTCTTTGAGGAACTAGTTTCATGAGATATAGCCCCTGACCTCAGGGAGTGAGCGACCTAGCGATGCCCACAAAAGCAACACCTGAAGATTAAATAATACAAAATAGATTTCAGGAAATACGTAGCACATTTTGAGCCACTGGTGCAGACAGTGGGAGCTCAGAATTCAGAGGAGGGGGTGCCAGTGGGGCTGAGGTCTGCTATGTTGTGCAGCAAAAGGCTTGATGAAGTTCAGGACCTCGACAGGAGCTGCTGATCCTGAGCTATCCAGTGGAGCCCTAGGTACAGTCACATGTATTCCTGTAAGACAGGCAGAGGGAGATCAGAAGCACTGCAGAGGACAGACAGGGGATGTGAAGACAGAGACGGGGATTGGGGGATGCAGCCATAAGCCAAGGAATCCCAGTAGCCACCAGGAGACAAAGAGGGCCTCTCCAGGGCCTCCGGAGGGAGTGGGGCCCGCTGGCACCTTGATTCCACACTCCAGACTACAGAGTAGCAAGAGGAGACATTTCTGTTGTTCTCAGCCGCCTAGTTTGTGATTTGTTACAGCCACCCCAGAACGTGAATACCCTCCCTCACATGCCTCAGCTGAGACGGTCGGAACCAGAGGGCAACTCGACACACCCCATCTCCGTGCTGCACTTGGGCTGCCTCCCAGCATGGCGGTCCCAGCAGTCAGCTTTCACAAAAGTGCTGGCCTCCCAGAGGATGGTTCCCGGTGCAGGAAATCAGGAGCTCCAGGCATTGAAGAGGAAGTTACCCAGCATTGTCCCTCCCACCCCTGAGCAAGGTTCAGGGCCAGCCCCGACACTGGCCGAGGGAAAGGAGCCCATGAGAAGACAGCAAAGTGCCCACTCGGACGGGGCATGCCGGGTTCCTCCTCCCCTCACGCCACCCTGTGAGAAGTGACCCCCGGCTTCCAGCCGCAGACCATCCACAGAGCTCAGTGGGTCCCTTCTCCACATCCTCAACCCTACAGCCAAGTCTTCAGTGCCCAGGACCCTCTCAGAACAGGAGTGTGTGGATCACGCGATAAATCTAGAACGTAACTTAACACACATAACATGGCTTTCTTTCAGGTTTGTCTTTAAGAAGCCAGTTTTATTAATTTCCGGAGAAGGAAATGAAAGAAGATGCCACAATGACAGCATCCGCAGAACAGCTTCAAAATCACACAAACAGACAGACTCATGAAGGTGACATCGCAAAGCTGGAACGGCGTGGGGCAGACGCTGGGCTGCGGAGGGGGCGACGCGAAAGCTGCGTTCCCTGGTTCCTTCCCTCCTCCTCCCACTCTCTCTGCTTGTATCACGCTGTAGTGGGGCCTGGACCTGCTTGTTCACCCCACAACCGATGCACCTTTGTTGTCGCTCCTTCTAACTGCATTGTCCTTATAAAGAATTTGGAGAAGCGATTAAGGTCATATTAAAAGCAGTTGGGGCATGACGCACAATGCACGTCACGTCGCAGATGCACGTCACGACGCAGATGCACGTCACGACGCAGATGCACGTCACGACGCACAATGCGCAGCGTGACGCAGAATGTGCGGCGTGTCGCAGAATGCACGTCATGATGCACAATGCGTGGCGTGACGCACAATGCGAGGCATGACACACAATGCACGGCACAGCCAACAAGCAACAACGAATCCTTTGAACACACCTTCTCCATGCGCATCTAGGAAGGAGGCTGAGTGCTCAGCGGCACTGTGCTATTATTAATCAGAAAATTTGAAGGTGCTTTTTGAGAATTAACTCCAGAGCTGCAGAGCTACACATCATTATCAGTACACCAGCTTATATTTTGTTCAGCTTCACAATTTAGTAAGTGCCTAATTTCTTTCTCAGCACTCGGTGAGGAAGGTGTTCTCGTTGGTTAAGAACGCAGCAGCGGCCGGGTGCGGTGGCTCACTATAATCCCAGCACTTTGGGAGGCCGAGGCGGGTGGATCACAAGGTCAAGAGATCGAGACCATCCTGGTCAACATGGTGAAACCCCATCTCTACTAAAAATATAAAAAAATAGCTGGGCATGGTGGCGCGTGCCTGTAATCCCAGCTACTCGGGAGGGTGAGGCAGGAGAATTGCCTGAACCCAGGAGGTGGAGGTTGCGGTGAGCCGAGATCACGCCATTGCACTCCAGTCTGTGTAAAAACAGCGAAACTACGTCTCAAAAAAAAAAAAAAGAAAGAAAAAAGAATGCAGCAGCAAGGTAGAGGGAGGCTAACCGCTCGCCCTCTGCTTATTCTCAGCCGTAAACAGCTTGCAGGGGGGACAATCTTCATTGTTCACGGAGAAGCAAATATGACCGAGATCAGAGTTGCAAGAGCCAAGCAATTTGTCTTTGTTCCTGAATCCACTCTGTGCCGCCCAGGGAGAGATAGTAACACTGACTTCTGAACAGTGCTTTTCTCGGATCCCCTCCGAGCAGTCTGAGGGCGATGGATCAGGGGTGCTGTGGGGGCTGAAACCTGCACTTGGCAGGATGTCTGTGCAGTCGTGACAGCCTGGTGGAAAGCCTGGGAGCGTGGGGCATCCTAATCGTCCTGAGAACTCCGGGAGGAGGATGCGCCGCCGTGTTCTACGCCGTCGGGACAGAGCTGGGACATGCAGGCTGCGGGGAATGAGCACACAGCAAAACACCATGCGGCGCTGCCCAGGTCTGTACTTCTCATCCAGGCAGGGCTCGTCCCCCTGGGCAAGTTGGGCTCGTCCCCCTGGGCAACTGTCTGGGGGCAGTTTGGATTGTCACAGCTGGGGAGGGGTGAGAAGGGTGCTGCTGGCATCCGTGAATGAACGGAGACTGGGGATGCTTCTAGGCACCCTGCAACGTACAGGGCAGCCCCTGCCACAGAGAATTGCTGGGCCCAGAGTGTCAACCGAGCTGAGGTTGAGGAGCCCTGGCTTAGCGGCTTCGCCTGTTAGGAACGTGTTAATCCACTGGCCTGGGTGAAACAGATGCCAGAATCAGTCCCCATTTTTCAGTTGAAGACGATCCAAAATAGAAACCTCAGTTAGTCTCTAGGTCACACCCTTGAGGTGAGTTTACAACCATGGGAGCGAACCAGCAAAAAGGAGCCTCCAGGTCATACCCTCTGTGAGTGCGACAACCATGGGAGCAAACCAGGAAAAAGGAGCCTCCAGGTCACAGCCTCGGTGAGTGTTACAACCATGGGAGCCAACCAGCAAAAAGGAGACTCCAGGTCACACCCTTGGTGAGTGTGACAACCATGGGAGTGAACCAGGAAAAAGGAGCCTCCAGGTCACACCCTTGGTGAGTGTTACAATCATGGGAGCAAACCAGCGAAAAGGAGAGTCCAGGTCACACCCTTGGTGAGTGTGACAACCATGGGAGTGAACCAGCATAAAGGAGCCTCCAGGTCACACCCTTGGTGAGTGTTACAATCATGGGAGCAAACCAGCAAAAAGGAGAGTCCAGGTCACACCCTTGGTGAGTGTGACAACCATGGGAGTGAACCAGGAAAAAGGAGCCTCCAGGTCACACCCTTGGTGAGTGTTACAATCATGGGAGCGAAGCAGCACAAAGGAGCCTCCAGGTCACACCCTTGGTGAGTGTGACAACCATGGGAGTGAACCAGCAAAAAGGAGCCTCCAGGTCACACCCTTGGTGAGTGTTACAATCATGGGTACGAACCAGGAAAAAGGAGCTTCCAGGTCACACCCTTGGTGAGTGTGACAACCATGGGAGTAAACCAGCAAAAAGGAGCCTCCAGGTCACACCCTTGGTGAGTGTGACAACCACGGGAGTGAATCAGCAAAAAGGAGCCTCCAGGTCACACCCTTGGTGAGTGTGACAACCAGGGGAGTGAACCAGCAAAAAGGAGCCTCCAGGTCACACCCTTGGTGAGTGTGACAACCAGGGGAGTGAAGCAGCTAATAGGAGCCTCCAGGTCACACCCTTGGTGAGGGTTACAACCATGGGAGCGAACCAGCAAAAAGGAGCCAAGACAGGCGGGCGGGGCATCCAGGAAGGCCCCAGAAGCTACCGCACTGACAGGATATCAGTCACGTGATTGTAGCCCAAGCAGAATAATCATCTCAGATGAGTGACGGCCGTCAACCCAGGGAGGTTCAAGGAGAATTTGTCCTGGACCCTGACGGGACCAACATTTTATCAATAACCTGGGCAAAGGTGTGGTAGCAAAGTTAATGACATTTTCAAATTGAAGAAAGCATGGAGGGATACTTAAGATAGGCTATGGCCAACCAAGTATTAATTTGCAGGGACGAATGTGAAGTTCTGCCTTTGGGTGCAGAGCATGCAAGGCCTCCCTCAACAAAGCTCTCGTGGTGGAGACTTAGTCACCTCATACAACTGCAAGACCGAAGGAGAATTGTAAGCTATGTTTACAATTGTACCTATGTTGATATAATAATCATATTGGACCTGCTATAGTGATTTACAAATCACTTTCATATACATTTGCTTGTTGAATCAAGCCTACATAAACTCTGAGACAAGAGGTGACAGGTATATTTAAACCCACCTTATAGAGGGGGCTTAGGGAAGCCTGATGACTTCCCAAGAGAATAAAGCAATAGCAGAGCTGGGTTTAGAAACTGGGTGTTTTGTTCCAAATTCCATGTTCTCTCTGTGGCCAGAGTCCCAGGAGAGGCTGCACGGGTGTTTGGTGGCCGAGGGGAGCCCTCCCTACTGCTCAGCCCAGCACCTGTGTGTGCTGCCTGCCATCAACTCCTGGAGGATGTCGCCAGCCCTGCAACCTGCAGGAGGGGCCACGCTTTCCAAGCCACAGCTCTGCTGATGTAGGAAGACATCAGCAAGGTCCACACCTGAGACGCTGCTATGGTTCCACGGGAAATCCCTGCCTTAAATCCTAGTGAATGAGGCATGGAAGGGGCATAAGTTTACATTTACTTTTTAGCCATTTTGAAAAGCACACACAATCAAACACTAAAAAGGATAAAGTCCCCTTGTAAAGTGACTTTTCACCTGACTTTACAACCCTTGCCTCCTCCACCTCCTCCTCTTTCTTCCTCTCTCTCTTTCCACATATATGACACACAGGTATTTGGAATCATACTGCATATAATCACAAATGATTTATGATGGGACGATGGTATGATCATTTTTCAATGTAATTCACATTTAGAGCATTGTGTTAAATACTGCAGAGAATCGCATCTTATGATTGAACAATCATGAATGTAATCAATGACTTCTACAACATTTAGTTTCTGGTTTTTTACTGTTAAGGATGACACTGTGCATTGACTTTCATTTGTGTTTTTATTTTGCTTGGTTGTTCTTTCTCTCTTTGAATTCTCACCTTTGGAGCTACACCTGTGTCTAGAATGTTCTTTCTCTCTTTCGCTTGGGCAGCTCTGATTTCTCACGAAGGACGGTGAATGGCTGTCGGTCTTTGATGTCAGTGTTGTCTCAGGCAGCCTTCATCACCTCTGGATTTCTAAAGGCAGCGTCTGATCTTTTCCCCAGTGCTGGAGGACACAGGAGGTAACTAACTGACTTTTCCAAAACCGTTTCCCCCATCCTTAGAATGAAGACTAAGCCACTTGATGAGAGCAACAGCCTTTAAATAAATAATGCAGTTATGTTTTTACATTATTTAATAACGTGTATCAGCTATCTGTAAACTGAAACTCACAATCGGAATGTAAATAAAAGAATGTGACAGAATCATTTTTGCTGTTAGTTTGTACGTTTTTCTCCCCATAGTTCTCCCCTTTTCTGTTTCCGGCTCCAGCGCACAGCCAGGCGTCATGCTGGTTTGCCTAAGAGGACATCTGTGGCAGGCTGGTTAGCTGCCCTTCCTGGCTTTCACTTTCCAAAAGTCTAAGACAAATGAGGGCTCATCATGGGTGTGCATGCACAGGGGAGTAACTAGAAAGTGATCAGGGTCCAGAAAGCAAAGCAGATCCTTCAGGGGAAACAAAAGCACCTGTGGGCCATCAGAGACAAGAACATGCTCAATGACAGCAGCCAGCCTTGCTAGAGACAGGTCCCAGGCAAGGTCCAGGAGAGCAGCGCCAGCAGCCAGCATGCCAGGAGCATCCAGCAAGAGCTGACATTGATGACCAAAGGAGCATTCCCCACTCCTTGACATGGTGTTGGAGCAGAGGCCCCTTGGAGAACCCTGAGAAGTTCCAATTTCATTTAAGAAAATAGAAATCTGTAACTAGAAAGAGAGCAAGATGGGTTGCAGATGGGGCAGAAGCCATGGCAGGGCTCAGCCATACCTGTCTGTCATGCTTTATGTGAAAAGAAGGGGAAGACCCAAGGGAATGCAGAGGGACATTCAGATTTAATGAACAGGACTCCTATTCTCCTGGAAATATGGTGGCAGCTTAGTTTTGAATCTTCAAAGCTCGCCTCATAGAAACCACAGAGACCAACATTGCAGAAGAGAAGAAGCAGACTGGAAGTGTGATTTCAGCAAGCCACCGTGGCACTTCCTACCCCACAGGAAAGTCCTACTTCCAATCCAGGAAAATCCACCTCTTTCAAATATAGATTTAAAAACTAGAAAGTACACAGCATCTTTCCTAAGACATTATAAGACAAAAAGATGAATAAAGCAGCATTTTTCTACAAGTAATAAAAACTCGCTATAAAAAATAAAACAAAGTAGATGAGAATGGTAACCCAATATTCCTACATGAATTTTCAAAAATTATTGATACAAAGCAAGGAGTGAAGTAAAAGATAAGCAGAAATTTGCAAATTCAGGAAAGAGATCGTGAGACAATAGGAATTATGCCAGAGAGAGTGGTAGAATTACAGAAAGAAAAATAATAAGAATCAACATCATGAAACTGACCATATTGCCCAAAGCAATTTACAAAATCAGTGCAATTCCTATCGAAATTCAAACATCATTTCTCACAGAATTAGACAAAACAATCTTAAAATGTATGTAGAACTGACAAAGAGCACAAATAGCCAAAGCAATCGTAAGCAAAAAGAACAAATCTGGAGGTATCACATTATCAGACTTCAAATTATACTACAAAGCCATAGTTATCCAAACAGCATGATGCCAGTGTAAGAGCAGACACATAGACCAATGGAACAGAATATAGAAGGTAGAAATAAAACCAAATACCTACAACCAACTGATCTTTGACAAAGCATACAAAAATACAAATTGAGAAAATGACACTCTATTCTGTGTGTTCTGATTGCTCCCCCGATTGGCAATTCCCCAATCTCTCTTCCTCTCCTGAGGCCTCTTCATTCCCTGAGACACAACAATATTGAAATTAGGCCATGTAATAACCTTGCAATGGCCCCTAAGTGCTCAAGTGACAGGAAGAGTCACACGTATCTCACTTTCAATCAAAAGCTAGAAATGATTAAGCTTAATGAGGAAGACATGGTGAAAGCTGAGATAGATTGAAAGCTGGGCCTCTTGTGCCAGTTAGTCAAATTGTGAATAAAAAGGAAAAGTTCTTGAAGGAAATTAAAAGTGCTATACTGGCCAGGTGCAGTGGCTCACACCTGTAATTCCAGCACTTTGGGAGGCTGAGGTGGGTGGTCCCAAGGTCAAGAGATCAAGACCATCCTGGCCAACATGATGAAACCCATCTCTACTAAAAATACAAAAATTAGCTGGGAATGGTGACTTTACTTTGCAGGTGATACCCATTTACCATTCTGAAAATCCCATGGCCCTCAAGAACTATGCTAAATCTACTCTGCCTGTGTTCATTAAGTGGAAGAACAAAGTTTGGATGTTAGCACATTTGTTGAGAGCATGGTTTGCTGAATATTTTAAGCCCACTGTTTAGACCTACTACTCAGCAAAAAAGATTCCTCTTAAAATACTACCCCTCATTGACAATGCATCTGGTCAGCCAGGAACTCTGATGGAAATGTACAAGGAGAAGAAGGTTATTTTTAATGCCTGCTTCCACAACATTCATTCTGCAGTCCATAAATCAAGGAGTAATTTTGACTTTCAAGTTTTATTATTTAAGAAGTACACTTTGTAAGGCTATAGCTGCCATAAATAGTGATTCCTCTGATGAATCTTAGCAAAGCAAATTGAAAACCCTCTGGAAAGGATTCACCATTCTAGATGCCACTAAGAACATTGTGATTCATGAGAGGAGGCCAAAATACCAACATTCACCTGAGTTTGGAAGAAGTGGATTCCAACATTCATGGATGACATTGAGGGGTTCAAGTCTTCAGTGGAGGAAGTAACTGCAGATGTGGAATTAGAAGTAGAGCCTGAATATGGGACTGAATTGATATAATCTTATGAGAAAACTTGAACAGAAGAGCAGTGACTTCTTACGGATGAGCAAAGGGAATAGTTTTCTGCAATGAAATCTTCTTCTGGTGAAGATGCTGTAAACATTGTGGAAATGACAGCAAGGAACCTGGAATATTTCATAAACGTATTTGATAAGGCAGTGGTAAGGTTTGGGGAGACTGACTCCAAGTTTGAAAGAAGTACTACTAGGGGTAAAAGGCTGTCCATGAGCATTGCATGCTACAGAGGAATGCTTTGTGAAAGGAAGAGTAATGGATGTGGTCAACTTCGCTGTTGTCTTATTTTAAGAAATTGCCACACTCACCTCAGCCTTCAGCAATCACTACCCTGATCAGTCAGCGGCCATCAACATCAAGACTCCTCACCAGCAGGAAAATTACAAAAGGATTCCTGACCCTTCAGATGATCATTAGCATCCTTTAGCAATAAAGTGTTTTTTAATTGGGGTATGCACATTGTTACTCTTTTTTTGGTACCTTGTTATTGCATACTTAATAGACTACAGTATCATATAAACATAACTTTTTTTTTTTTTTTGAGACGGAGTTTCGCTCTTCTTGCCCAGGCTGGAGTCCAATGGCGGGATCTCGGCTCACCGAAACCTCTGCCTCCCAGGTTCAAGTGATTCTCCGGCCTCAGCCTCCTGAGTAGTTGGGATTACAGGTGTGTGCCACCATGCCCGGCTAATTTCTTTTGTATTTTTGGTAGACATGGGGTTTCACCATGTTGGTCAGGCTGGTCTCGAACTCCTGACCTCAGGTGATCCACCTGTCTTTGCCTCCAAAAGTGCTGGGATTACAGGCATGAGCCACCATGTCTGGCCCTAAACATAACTTGTATATGCACTGGGAAACCAGATATTTTGTGTGGCTCACTGTATTGCCATATTCACTTTATTGAGGAGGTCTAGACCCCAACCCACAATATCTCCAAGGCTGGCCTGTATGGATCTCATTTACTCTCCATAACAACATGTGACAATGGAAAATCTCAGAACTCTCACAGATAAGAAAACTTAGGCTCAGACAGATATAGGGAGAAGAGTGAAAATCCCCAAACCACCTTCCCCGTCTTCTCCTTCCTCAGGGCTCATCCCTAATCGTCCAGTGCTGTGCCATCCGGGTATTTTTCAGTGAGTGCACAGTCATGACTATGCAGGAAGGCAGAGGATTGCTCTGGGCAGGAGGCCTGATCCACCCCCAGAAATGGTAGCCAGGCCCCTTGGGGTGGCTTCCTGCAGCAACCTTGTCACCATGGTAACCAGAAACTGGTCTGATCAGTCCTAGTAGCAGCAGAGTAGGAAGACGGCTGGAGATCATCAGAAGAAACCCAAAATGTCACAGACCCAGAAATGGAAGCCAGGAAAGGTGTGATTATCCTTATCACAGTTAACGATGATCCTCAGGGCTCGCCACCAGGATCAAACTAGCCACCATTGCCTGAGCTCTGCAGGCAGCTGATCTGCAGCGCTGCGCACGTGGGACCCTCTCCTTGAGGGGTGCGTGGCCTTGGGCAGGCAGCCTCTTGCCCTCTTGCTCACATTCCCACCACCAGGCAATGAGGGCCTCCACCCCACGGAGGAGGTGGGCCACACACCCCCGTGTTCACTGCAGCCACCAGGGTGCTCACTTTAACCCGGCAGTCACTGAATTGAACAAGGCACAGGTGACCCCTCTTTGGGAGCAACCTCCAACCCAAGCACCCTGCAGCTGACCCAAGTCCCCACCCTGGAACTCTTCCACAAGTGTCGGACAACTCTCAGTGCTGACTGGTTTTAGCTCAAGACCCTTTGAGTTTTAAGACCTTCCGCAAAACTCTTTGCAAATATAGCCCCATGAGTGTTGAAAAATAGCCCCTTCCCCTGCCAATCCCGTGATAAGGGAGCCTAAGAGTCTGATCTCATCTCAACCAAGGCTGTGCACTGAATCACCCAGGTGTTCCCGACCGATATTGCCATAAATGGGTGTGGTGGAGGTGGTGTGTGTGTGTGTGTGTGTGTGTGTGTTTTGAAGCATCTGCAGTTGATTAATGTATGGCCAGGGAATCACTGCTCTAGTGGAAAACTTACCAGGCATAGAAGCAGGAAACGAGGCTGTCAGGAACCTGAGGGAGCAGGACAACTTCCCAGCCTGTGTCTTTATCCATCAAGGATAGTTGATGGAACAGCAGATTCAGAGACACACTCCAGGGATGCTGGAGGCTGGGTACGAGCCTGCCTCTTCAAGACAGCCCAGTGCCAGCATTTCCCAATTCACAGCAGGGGAAGTTAGTGGACAGAATTGACCGATTTTAACTTTTGGTTTCTTTTCTCTGATAATTTCTTGGCCTTGGCTTCTTCTGAAATTCCTCTTTCTAAGCCAAAGACCAACAACACTGCCATTGTTCCAGTGAAAGTTGTCTCCCCCGTGGCTGAGGGGCCATGTGGGCTGCAGGAAAGGGTTCTGCCCTTGCCAATCTCTGGGCTGGTGCAGGCTCTGCACAGCAAGGTGCTGACAAGGCCTGGCAAACAGGTGCTCAGCGTCCTTCTGGCAAGAATCTGATGCTCAGGTGAGCGCTCAGCAAAAAGCCCAGCAGCTCAGGTCCCAGTCATTCTGTGCCAGTGACGCAGCTTTCAGCCGCTGACCCTCAGGTCAATGCTCATGATCCCTCATGGTGATCACGAACTTCTCCCCGGCCCTCCATGTGAGGACCCTCTGGAAGCCTCTCACCACACCTCCCAATTTTAGCCCATTGCTGAAATGATCACACGCTGCTGATGAAGACGTTGGGACTTGAAGGTGTGTTGACACGTACGTAGCCCAACTTCAGGCCGTAGCATCCCTCGAGGTGAATATTGATTTGGCATTTCAGTTCTGTCCATTTTTACCTCTCTAGTCAATAAAGCTTGATGTTTATCTCCGCTGACATTGATGTCTGCTTAAAGTTTCGTTCTCACTTCCTGACCTTCTTCAAACAACTGGGGAAGAGATTGCATAGGGTGGGTGGGAGGGAATGGCCAATACTCCCGTGGTGCGGAATGAGTCCTTAGATTCTCATTTCCCCTTTGGGCCTCAGCATCCAGTGAAGCGGCTATGTTGTCTGGGGCATATACCCTGCAGTTTGTTTGCTGTCACCTTCTAGGAAATTTAGGACATGGACTCACAGGAGGAGTTTAGGAGAGGAGGTTTAACAGGTAGAAGAGAGAAAGAGAAACAGCTTCCTCTATAGAAAAAGGGGTCTCTGAGCAGAAAGGACCCAGTGGTGGTAAGTGGGCTGTGTTTTACAGTCCAGTTTGAGGAAGTGGTGTCCGATTTAGATTGGTTTGATCAGGTGTGAGCTTTACACAGTGCGTGGGGAAGGCTGGTTGCCCCACTCTAATCTTATTACGCAAATGAGCTTTCCAACTGATCAGGGCCAACTTGTCTGCTCCTTACAGTACGTGTGGCTGGCAGAGGGAAGATGGAGCTGCCATCTTGAAAATATCTAGTCCTGGCTGGGCTCAGTGGCTCACACCTGTAATCCTAGCACTTTGAAGAGGCTGAGGCAGGTGGATTACCTGAGGTCAGGGGTTCAAGACCAGGCCAATATGGTGAAAACTCGTCTCTACTAAGAATACAAAAATTAGCCAGGTGTGGTGGCAGATGCCTGTAATCCCAGTTACTCAGGAGGCTGAGGTGGAGAATTGCTTGAACCTGGGAGGTGGAGGTTGTAGTGAACCAAGATCACACCACTGCCCTCCAGCCTGGGTGACAGAGCGAGACTCCCTCCCAAAATCAATCAAACAATCAATCAATCAATGTATCTGTCTATTCATTAGTTCCTGCTGGCATTCACCTGTGCAAGCTCCCAGCTCGCAGGCTGTTCTTTGTTTCTTTGTTAGAAAATGATCTGGGGCTGCTCTTCATTAAAAAGGAAAGCCTTAGGGAGGACTCCCAAGCCCTTACTATCTGCCTAGGTAATTCCTCCTGAACTCCTGGGTCACCAAGTGGTTTCAGAGGTCCCTTCGCTGCTGACATCCCACATCTTCACTGCTGCATATTTAGAAGGACAGAGCAGGCCAGTGGCCTCCAGTTTGCAAGTGGCAAAACCTGAAAAATAAAACACTGTTTCATTAGGATTAACTTAAAAAAAAAAAGTGCTGATTTCAGCGGGTACTGCTTGAAAGCAAATTTCTGGGGAAAGTAAAGTTATAAAAACAATCAGATGGCCTTCAAACGGGGACCATGGAGGTGGGGTCCCATCAAAGAATCCTGGCTCCTATGGGTGAGGCTCACTGGCGGGAGTGGTAAGTTCCCTTCAGCCTCCTGGCCTGGAGCCCGAGGCCTCTCAGACCCAACACCCTGGCGGGCAGCAGCAGATGGGCAACCCCACCACGCCTGCCATGCTCAGAGGTACCCCAGGACCAGCGTGGGCTGGCAGAGCTGGGAAGTCTCTCAGGCCAAACGCCAGCAATTTCATGGAGAACACAACATCCAAGGGGAACTGTCCTTGAGAGGGTAAAATCAGTGAAACTGAGTCAGTGAAACTGAGCACAGGAGGCACGGTGCCTGGGAGTGGGAGGGGCCCAGGCAGCCTTTATCAGTGTGTGGGTTCATTCTAACGTGTCAACTCGACTGGGCCATGGGGTGCCCAGATATTTGGTTAAACATTATTCTGGGTGTGTCTGGAAGAGATGAGCATTTGAATTGATGGACTGAGCAAAGCAGGTGGTCCTCCCTGTGTGACTGGGCCTCTTCCAAGCAGTTTGGGGCCTGAAGAGAACCAAAAGCCTGGTGAGGGAGAACGCACGCTCTGCTTGTTTTCACGCTGGCCAGCTGTCTTCGGCATGAAGACTAGAATTTACACCAGTGGCTGTCCCAGGCCTCCAGCTTGCCGGCTGCTGATTTTGGGACTAGTTAGCCTCCACCTCCACAGCGGCATGAAAAATTCCTCACCACCAACCTCTCTATGCTTATATCCTATATATCCTGTTGGTCCCATTTATCCGGGGACCGCTAGCACACCAGGCAAGGTGAGAAGCCCTTGAGGAGGACCGGCTGCGACTCACTGATCTAAAGCTCTAGGCTCCGACCGGTGCTGACCCCAGCTCTGCAGAAGAGGCAGTGGTCACATCTCCTGGCAGAAAGACAGGCAAGCACAAGCCTGGGGCTCTCAGATGGCAAAGGTCAGGGTATGCGGGTGTTATGTAGGCAGGCAATTTCACCTGCTGTCTGTGCTTTAGGCTCAAAACACAAGGGCTCCCCAGCACCCCAACTGCACTGGCTGTGCTGCACATCTGCCAGACCATATCCAAAGCTCTCAGTGGGGCCCCTGGACTCTGGTGACCCCGAGACCCCCCAAGGGACCCACAGGGTGCTGGCTTTGCCAGCTGCATGTCCATGTCACACAGGACTCACTCATGCTCTGCAAGCTGGCAGAATGCAGGAGCAGGCAGAAAATCCAGTTCTTCCGAGTCAGACACCACAGCTCTGCAGACCCAAAGACGATGCCACGCCTCCCCCAATGCCTTTTGTTTTGGAAAATGTAGCTGTTCGTTATCAGATATTTACACTAACATGTAGCGGGTTTATGATAGTCGTAATGAATTAATACATATTTTAAATGCTCTTGGTTTTGGTTTCTGGTGTTTCTCATTGGTGATTTCTAATGTGGCGTCCTGGCTGCGTTCAACCCCGACAAACACATGCTCCCTGGGGGCTTCCATAGCTGTTCAGAGGTCAAGAGGCCTCAGACCCAATGTTTGAGTCCCAGGCCTCAGATCGTGTCTCTGCCCTCCCTGTCCCTCAGCCAGCAGGCCCTGTCTGTGTGGCCTGTTCCCGGAGCTTTCTAATGAGGGGAGGAAGGCAGACGCTGCACTTTTTCGACTTTCCAGGCACCGTCTAAAGCCCTTGGCACATATGGAGCCACTTGACCCTCCTATAACGCATGCAGTGGGTCCCATTACCCCCATTTACGGACGAAGGGCAGGGAGGTGGAGACCCTGGCTGGAGGCAATGCAGCAGGGAAGCGGCAGTCGGAGGCAACCCAGGCCTTCCTGCCCGACTTCAGAGTCCAGACGCACACCCACTAGACGCTGACTCACAAGCCAAGCCACGCCACCCCGACATGCATGCCACCCCGACACGCACGCCACCCCGACACGCACGCCACCACATCCCCTCCAGAGTGCGTTTACATTTTAACAGCCATGTCTGATGAAAGGATCCAGTGGTTTCCAGTCAGAGATGTACTACCTCAAAAGGCTTAGAGGGAGGGTATCGTCCTCTGTCCCTAAGTTTATGCCACGTGGACTTTCTCGTTTTTGCTGGCACCTTCCTTTCTCCCCACCCTCCCTGCTCCCTCTCCTCTCACCCTGCTCCCTCCCCCCTCTGCCCCACTCACTCCCCCCTCCATGCCCGCTCCCTGCCCCCTCCGCCCCGCTCCCTCCCCCCCACCCCACTCCCTTCCCCCTCACCCTGCTCCCTTCCCCCTCCACCCCCCACACACATTTCTT